GGGGGGGGGATGGGAGTGGGAGGGGAGATGGAAAGAGATATAAGCAGCCCTTGTCCTTTCTAGCTAACAGTGACTTGGCACTGAGTTAGCAACACTTAGTCAAAACTGTCTTTAATATTTTCATGTGTTAAAGTGGAAATACCACCCAATGAATCAGTTAGTTCACTTTAAACAGAAAACTCACAGCCAATGAAAGAGAAATTGATTTCTTCTTGCACCGCCCTGGCGATGCAATGGTTTGATTTTCACTGGGTTATGAGAGTGCTCCAGTGAACAGAATTTAAAATCATGGACCACCTTTAATTCTGCCTGTCATTGTAACATGACAGGAGGTGCTAAAGGTCATGTGGGTGCTGGCCTCTGAGTCTACAGTGACAGACAAATCATTCAGCACAAATTAAGTGTATAGCAACTTTCATTGGTTCAGCTGTTGAGTTCATTTTTGTCGATAGCAGTTCCACACTCAGAGCATGATGTTTTCTCTTTTAGTTCCGTGGATACAATATGGGAGATATACCCATCCAGGTCTCGGGAACAGATTATTACCTGTATCCTTCAGATGGAGGACAGATTGAAGTAGAAAAGACAACATTTGAAAAAGGTACATTTTGAAAGCAGCTAGTTAATGGCTGGGAAGCTGTTGGCCTGTTTCAGGTCAGCTTGGTCCCTGTGCTCCTGAGCGTGATAAGTGAGAGTGGTCATGTGCCCAGGCCATTCAGCATTTCCAGACTCACGTTCTTCTGTTGTAACTGACTGTGAGGCACAAGCCGCCTGAGAGGTTAGCTGGCACACACAAGTAGAAAGTTCCAGTTAAAATATTTAAATACTTCTATGCCATTGGGAAATAGTATAGTAGTAACTGCAGTAAACAAATAGTTAATAATATTAATTACAACACAGTGTTATCCCGGAAGCCAAGCACATACTGTTAGTTTAGAGCACATTTCTTCCTTCCCTCCTTCCCTCCTTCCCTCCTTCCCTCCTTCCCTCCTTCCCTCCTTCCCTCCTTCCCTCCTTCCCTCCTTCCCTCCTTCCCTCCTTCCCTCCTTCCCTCCTTCCCTCCTTCCCTCCTTCCCTCCTTCCCTCCTTCCCTCCTTCCCTCCTTCCCTCCTTCCCTCCTTCCCTCCTTCCCTCCTTCCCTCCTTCCCTCCTTCCCTCCTTCCCTCCTTCCCTCCTTCCCTCCTTCCCTCCTTCCCTCCTTCCCTCCTTCCCTCCTTCCCTCCTTCCCTCCTTCCCTCCTTCCCTCCTTCCCTCCTTCCCTCCTTCCCTCCTTCCCTCCTTCCCTCCTTCCCTCCTTCCCTCCTTCCCTCCTTCCCTCCTTCCCTCCTTCCCNAGATGCGATTCCCTACGTGAAATCGTGACACGAGTGGAAGCATCATTAGAGAGTAGCTGCCACTATCGAATAAAGGATCACACCAATGACTGTTAAACCGAGAAGGCCTGTCCTGACCTGGTGGCTCATTTGGTTAGAGCGTCCTCCTGTGCAACAGAAGGTTGTGGGTCGATCCCCGGCCCGGGCACATACCTGGGCTGCGGGTCGATTCCTGGCCCAGGCACACACAGGAGGCAGCGAGCGGGGCTCCTCTCTCCCTCCAATAAAGCCGCGCCCCCGGAGCTTCCCGGGCATCACCAGCCCACCTCCCATCTCCTCGCCCCTCCCCAGGCTCCACTTTCATCAAAGTGAAGGTGAGAAAGGACAAGCACAACTTCATAATTCACTTAAGAGACCCGAAGAAAACTGCAAACAAGGAGAAAGCAGCGGCCTCCTCCTCCTCTTCAGAAGACGAGGGAGGGGACAGCGCGCGCTGGCCCTCGGCCGAGCCAGGTGAGCGGAGTCCCCGTGGGACAGGGCCTGTCGCCCTGGCCGCGCTCGGTCCCTAAGGCGATGCAGCGCCGACTCACCGGCCCACTGCGGGCTGCTCGCTTGCCTGCGCTCTGGGCGCCAGCTTTTGGTGGCAGTTGTCGCACAGCCTTCCTCGCCCGGCACCCTTATCTAGAAACACTGAGCTGCGGCGCCTGCTCTGCCTGAGTCTTGGGCGCGCTTGTCTCGGGCCCTCACTAACGGCCCGTGGGGCCTCTCTCAGTGTTCTCTGCAGATGAGGGCCCCCTGTGCTTTGTTACCTCGCTCTCCCAGCCGTGTCAAATTTCCCAGGCTGCAGGGACAAGAGAAAAATCCTAAGTTTGGCCATGAGAGCCTCTCCCTGCCTGTAGGCGAGGCTTCCAAGTGGATGGCCATTGCCTGTACACCACGACTCTCGCTGAAAATACCCTTTAACCTCTCCAGGCAGCACCCGATGGGGACAGTCACTGCTTCTTGTCCAACGTGATGTGGGTTGTACCTGAAAAAGGAGATGAGTTCATTAATAAAATATTTTGGACTCAAGTTAGTAATAAGAACCATAACTAAATCTTGCTAATAAATTTAGTTATGGTCACAGTATTTTTTCAAACTCAAGAACACAATGTTTGACAGGTTAGAATGTACCCAGGAATTTAAAACACAAAGTTTTAAATTGTTTTTATTGATATAAAATATATGGTTTATTATAAAATATTAGGAAATATAGGACTATTTAAAGAAGATAACAGTGGCCAGTAACTCTCCCACACCAGCAGTAACCACTATTCATAGTGCGTTTCTTTACCTTATCACGAGCATTTTCTTATTCATTAAATACTCTTTGAAAACAAGCTTTTTAAATGATTTCCTATTAAATCATTGGTATATATATCATAAGTTACTTGGTTGTATTCACGTTTTTGCATATTTAGCTGACTTTCACTGCGTTTTGCTTACATTTCTTTTTAATAGAAGGGAAATGTCCTTGACTCACTTTTGTCTTTCAGAAGACTCAAATGCACAGAGTAAAGCTGTCAGCAAGTTTGGGTCTTTTTCTGCCACTTTGGAAAATGGAATCTGCCTCTCAATAAGTTACTACGGATCTAGTGGGAACGTGCCAGGTGAAACAGATACAGCAGAAAGGATGAGTGTCCCCTGACCAAGGGCGTCCTCCCATCCTCAGTCCGCTCACTAGTTGATAAACACGTTCTGGTTTAATGCCCTCGTTTCCTGAAGGGTGGGAGTATGTGTGTGTGTGTGTGTTCAGATATGTGTGTGTATGTACAGTACACACATATACATATGTGATCTTTCGCACATAGAAAATAATGGTATACTGAAACAGCATTTATCATAGAGAATCTTATAATCAATGGACATATAAGATCATATATACACACGTATATATCCCAGTTATCTTTGTTAACTAGCCTGTGAAAATAAGTCTGTTGGTGCCAAAGGAAGCATGATTTGCCAAGGAATCCTCTTGATTTTCTACAGGATAATACTTTTATGAACCCTGCGATTATAGAACTCCTCAGTGTGCTTCAGAACACTAGTCTTAAAGGAGCCATTCATTGGACATCCTGAAGGAATTCTTTACCCTACTTTTAATAAACAGATTCTCCAACTGGAAGCTATTTCCTTACAAACCACAAAATAATATGTCACTTTACCAAGAACTAATTAGGAAATCTTGTGGGTTCCCATGCATTTTACAGGGATCTAACCACAACAGAATTTTCAAAAGCTTTACAAAATCAAAAGGTAATCCCTATGCTATGTAGCCCTAAAACTGTGTGGATCGTGGTGAGTTAATGACCTGCTTTACTCTGGGCTTCCATTTATGCAGAGACACATTCCCATGGATGTTTATAACCCAGTGTCTAACCTTATGCCAAATATTGTAATATCTAGTGAGTTAGAGAGCCCATTAAATGTGTTAGTATTTTTGTTTTGTTTGGGGTTATGTTTTTGAATTTTGTATTTGATTTCTTTGTAAACTGACACTTGGAGAAGTCATTTGGTGCCTAACATTATGTATAAATTCATTATCACCCACAGTCTCTAAAAAATCCTATCCCCTCTGAACATAGGTTATCGTTATTCTAGGTTAAAGCATTTACATTCTACTCTCTATCAACTATGTTGCTGCTGTTTCCTAGTTTTCTTTTATTTATTTATGTATCTTTATTGTTCAAAGTATTAGAGGTGTCCCCTTTTTCCTTACTGACTCCTCCATCCGGCACCTGCCCTCCCAGGCCTTCACTGCACTATTGTCTGTGCCCGTGGGTTGTGCATAGATGCATAGAAGTTCTTTGGTTAATCTTGATTTACTCTTTAAGTTAATAGGTAATTATTCCATTTAAAACAAATGTTGCTAATTTCAGGTTATAGGTACTGCATTTGAAAATATTTATAGTATGAGTAATAAGTAATGTTTTACTCCCTGTGCAGTAAAAAAAGTTGAAGGCATTTGTTTTTGTAAAAAATATATTATAAATTCTGTAAGGATGCATATAATACTGATATTTGAGAACTTTTACCTGCTAATGGCTAAACAAATTTTCAGTTCAATTCCCCCCCTTAATTGGTAGGTACAGTTCTCCAGAGCCTGCCCATCTTACCTAACTGAGAGTTTATGCCATTGATCAGTAATCCCCCGTTTACGGCTCCCCCCAACCCCTGGCCACCCCCACTGCACTCTGATGGAATTGGGCTATTTTAGATGCCATATAAGTAGGATCATGCAATATTTGTGTTTCTCTGACTGGTTTATTTCACTCAGCGTAGCGTCCTCAAGGATCATCCGTGTTGCCACATATTGTGGAATTGTCTTCTTTTTAAAAACTGAGCCCTATGTATATACCACATTTTATTTACCCAGTCATCTGTCGATGGACATTTAGGTGGTCTTCACATCTTGGCTGCCCTGTTCTTTTTGTGCCTGTTAGTTCCTCGAATGACCTCTGCTTTCTCTCACCTATCACACACCAGTGCATGCTGTGCCACTTGCTCAGAACACTTTCTCCTGCTACATACACCGCCACTTTCAACAATCAAACTCCCTCCCACGCTTCAGGTCTCAGCGAACAGGGTACTTGCTCTGAGAAGTGCTGCATAGATCAAGCAGCAGGAGCAGGCGGACTGGGTTTTTGGAGGTGAGTGAGAGTTGCATGGGCAGAGAATCAAAGGCAGGGAATTCTAGAAGCCAGGAATGGTGTGTACGAAGCTCGGTGGGATAAGAGCACGACACCTTCATGGAAAGGCTGGCTATGCAGCACAGCCAAGTGTAGGCTGGATGGAGGCGTTTGTGTTAGATCACCTGCTTCTGGGTTCCCATGGTGCTGTACTTCTCCTGATGCAGACTTAACTCTCGACACTGTACCCAAGGGTTTCTTCACCTGAACTGCTCATTGCAAGTTCCTGATAGTTTCATTCATTGTTGGCTACCCAACTTTTGGTACATAGTACTCGGTACTCAGTAAATATTTACCCAGACAAAGCAACAAGGAAAGGAATCCTAGACAGAACCATTTGTGTAAATACTCAGTTGTGTAAACACTTGGCATCTCTACAGAACAGTGAAAAGCCGAGTGTGGCTGGAGTGGAGGGAGGTGAGCATTGTATGCTGGATGAGTCGTGAGGCAGAGGTCTTTAAGTAAATGGATGGAAGTCACATGATCAGATTTTATTTCAGGGACATAATTTTAGTGACAGTTTGGAAAGCACACTGAAGTGGTGGTATTGGAGGTGCCATGATGCCAGTTAGAAATCTACTGCAAAAAATTAAGCAGAAGAAAATGAGAATCTGAGCTAAGGTGCTAGGGTTAGATAGGAGAGGCATGATTTGAGAGGAATTTCTGAGGGCTTGGTGACCATGGATGTATAGGGTGAGTCAAAAGAAGAAAATGCGAATAATCTCAGTGTCTAACTTGGGAAATAAGGTGTGTTATTGGTCATGGCATTGACTGAGAGTGAGAAATTAAGAGGGATGCCCAGCTTGGGAGAGGAGAGTTTGAAATGTGTCCAGGGGGAGATGTCTAAAAGCAGTTGGATATAAGGATCTGGGGCTAAGAAAAGAAAGGTCATGTCTTGAGATGTAAACGTTGGAGTCATCAGCATGTAGATGACAGTTGGAGCCCCAGTCCTGAAGAAGATCACTCAGACCTAATTTATCTCATAAAGGTACTCACTCCAGGCTGAGCATTACAACCACATGGGATGTTTCACAGATATAAATGCCTGGGCCTCATTCCCGGAGAGTCTGATCCAGTAGGTCAAAGTGGGGACCTGAGCACTGGCTGTTATGTTTTGTTCCATGAGTAATTATCGCAGGCAGCCAGAGGTGGGGACATCTGTTGTGTAAGGGTAAGGACAGAACCCCTAGACGGAGCAACATTTAACAGATTGGCAAGAGGAAGAACCAGTAGACTAAGGAAGAAACTGACCAGAGAGGGAAAGGAGGTCCGGGGGAGTGTCAGCCTGGAACCCAGACGATAGAGGTCAAGGTGTGGAGAGGGCTCGGGGGCTCCCGGCGTCACTGCCCCGCAGATCAGCTCTCCCTTCAGAATCTGACAGTTCTTTAACCTCAAATAAAATCAGTGTTCTGCAAGAAAACTTGTTTTATCATCTCAGCTAGAAATTGTCTTTTCTGAATTTCCTTGTTTGGATCCCTTATTATGTTCCTATTTAATATGTCCTTGTGTTGAAGCTTTTGGAGTACACATCTTTATTTTGACTATTTTGGCTTTGTAAGGTCTTTTGTATTTTTTATTATTTCCCACTGCTCCAAATATTTTGTATATAAGACTCTCTCATTAAATATGTCTCAATTAAATGGAGAGATGGTTACTACTCTATCATTAGGAGTTTACAGTATAGATGGGAAAGCAAGAACATGTGAAATAATGACTCCATCAAATATATCGTTGTATTAAGGACCTCAAATATTTATCTACAATCCTGATTTTCAAATCAACTATGTTATGCCTGAAATCTATCCAACTGATAAATCATATTTGGCAAGGTAAAACTTGTTGCCAACTTGTATAAATGCACGAGATGTGAATTTTATTTAACAAACATCGAGCATGAGTGTCTAATGTCCTCGTTTTCCCCTGCAGAGGAGAAGGACCCTAAGTTGGAAGCGATGTTGAATATCCCCTCAGCGCTGCTTCCAACAGTAATTCCTGTTATAGTGCCTGTTCCTCAGGCCAAAGGAAAGGGGAAAGCCAAAGGCAAAGAGAAACCCAAAGAGTCTCTTAAGGAAGAGGAGCACCCGAAAGAAGAGGAAAAAAAGGTGAGGGCCTGGCCACGATTCTAACGTGTGCTCTGCCCCGGCGTCAGCACTTTAAAAATCATGCGCTCCGTCAGCAGTGCTATCTTGGGGCGCACCTTCTATTGTGCAGACGCATTAACACCCTGGGAGTTTCCATTTTGAATGGACAAGAGGAGGTTTGCACAGAGGAGTTGAATCCCCATGAGGAGACATGGTGTCATGCACAGACTGTCTCAGGCCACTCATTCTACACTCGGAAGACGAGTTCAACCTGATTCTTGGGTGTCTTTTGCTTTCGGTTGGTCAAGTTCTACCATTTCTTATTTTAAATAATTTATTTAGCTCTATTAAGATAAATAATTGGAAGAGGAGAATGTTTAAATAGTGGAAACATTTCCATTTCCATTCATCAGCCTTGGACTTAGGTATTGATGTGCCACACACGCACATGCGCACGCACACACACGCACTCTTTACCTCTAACCACTTTCCTAGTAGGAAAATATGGGTAAAAAGAGGTTCCAGAAAAGGGAAAGGAGGAAATCACTGATCAAATCTTCACTCTCTGGTATTTACTACTCCAGTTGTGTGGTTTATACAATGTGCAAATACCAAGCTTATTAGAGGAAGGAAATGTGTTAAAAGGTGATCGGGGACCTGGATTTCCGACCCTGGCCCTTTAAAAGGCATGCAGTCCGAATGGTACTTAGCCTCTTCTCCATGCTCACATAGCTATACTAGGTGAGTCTTCTCAAGCTAGGGCATGTGACGCTTGGTAGGTAAAATGTGCAAGTGTTAAACAGAATAACCCCAGGTGATTCATTAATTTGGCTGAAAGCAATTTGGTAATAAACCAATTGGTTCACCGGACATTTTTTAAATTGACAGTAATAGAAGGGTGGGGATAGTGATGGTTTTGGGTGTGGTGATAAGTTCCTCATGGCAGGTTCCTATCGGGGAGCATTGTTGTTCATTTTACAGAATTTTTAAGGTTTTCCCTCTTAATTTTGCTTTGTGTTTTCAATTGATTTCCAGCTAACTATTCAGATTTTATTCTGTGTTAGTAACAAAGACAGAACAACCTAAATGACCAATAATAAAAGACTAGTTAGAATAAACTGAAGGCCCAGCAATGGGAGGCCAGTTGGAATGATTTCAGTGGCTAACGAAAGAGAGCCAAGTAGAAAGACTGAAATGGTTACCATTAGGGATTGGATGTGTGCTCCCGAATAGCTTTCATTCTGAGGCTCACATAACTAGATGAGGTGTTCAGGCGTAGCTGGCATCAAATTAATTAGTATTTTTAAGTAGACACACCAAACCCCTCATTAATTTAGAAATAATCTTGTAATTACGTGTTATTTTATTTTATTTTTACTTAATACAAAAGCAGTGTATGAACCTTATGGAAAAATAAGGGCACATATCCTAACAGCATAATGTCTCCAGCATTCAACAGTATGAACAGCACAGAGAAGGCAGTGGGGGTGTTGGGCAGACACAGGCACCCTTCAAGGCCTAACTCAAGCCCCAGCTCCTCCATGATTTTTTTCCTAACTGTTGTCATTAACTTTGATAACTCCCTTTTCTGAGGGAAGACGCACCAACCATTTGGTACTGTTATTTAACTTTCGCATATCTGTGTGCCATCCAATAAGCATAGCGGGTGGGGACTCATTACCTTATAGGCTCCATTGCAGGGCCCACTAGTCCTGAGCAAGTCATATCCTAAGCACTCAGCAAGTTCTCACTTGGTTATAATAAATAACTCATTTATAAAATGATGAACAATTATTCACATGTTAAATTATTTACAGGAAGAAGTAGAACCAGAACCTGTTTTACAAGAGACTGTTTTTGTTCCCACCTTCCCAAGCCTAAATGTATCTTGCCCCAATGGGCTCCTAGTGACCTTCATTGGGCAAGAGCCAACAGGTGAGTGCTAACTAGGGTGGGCCTAGAACACATAATCTTTTGAAAGTCTTTCATATATTTTAAATATTCTAATTCAAGCCTGAACATAACTGCAGCATAAATGCCAAAGTAGCAATACCTTCATCAGGGTCAGCCTTGGACATAGGGAGATGAGGCCACATGAGTGACTTCCCCTGGGGCTCCAGGCAACCAGGGCACATCAGGGAAGCATTGTGGGCATCCAGAGGTGCGACCTTACTCACAGGGGACAGAAAGGGGGACATCTAAGTCAGCATACTTCTGCTGCTTTCCTGATTTTGCCCTGAGATGACCTGGACTTCATTAGAGAGAATGGCTTCTATACAGAGAAGGTACCTGTTAAGTACTTATAGATAACCTTACTTACCACATTTGACAAAGGCAGCAAAGAGCCAGTACCCTGAGCATCTGTCAGATGGAAACTGCCCTGTGACTTATATGGAGACAAAAGAATGGGGAAAAGCTGAGCGAGAAGATAAAATCCCAGCTACATGGCATTGCCCGGTTCACAATAAGCCTTTTTTCTTTAAGATAAACGTGTTGCGGATGAGGAACCCACTTGGGACATCATGGTCCGACAGAGCTACCCCCAGAGGGTGAAGCACTATGAGTTCTACAAAATGGCGATGTCTGCAGTGGAGCAGGAGGCATCGAGAGTCGTCACCAGTCAAGGCACTGTGGTCAAGTACATGCTGGATGGATCCACACAGGTAAGAGAATGTGTGAGGTAAATGACTCTTTCCTGCTGCAAAGTAAAATACAAGCAAGCTATGGATAAGGACCAGTATTGTGACATGAAGAGGAACAACTCATTTGAAAATGGAATGACACTTGAAAGTGACAAATAAAAAATAGTATAGTTAGAAGAAAACACTATCTGTGCCATGCACCACACAAATAAACTTATTCTACATATGATCCAAGATTATAACCTGAACACAGTGTATACCTCCTCTCCCTCTCAAAGCACCCTAAAATAATAGAAAAATACTTGTAAATAATAAATTCATAACAGTACTAGAGAACAACAAAATGTGTCATCAGTGGATCAGAAGGTTGTAGAATTCCTAGAAAATTCAAGTTAGATGAAATCTGACTGATGGAGAAACAAACCTGCAGTGAAATTTAAAAATGAGAGTTTTAACACAGACGGTTCACAAATGGAGCTCTGGGCTCAGAAATCAGGGCAGTGCCCCCGGTAACTCACTACTACCTGGAGGGTGGAAACCAGAAACCATAATACCCAGAAGCCATATGCCCTGCTCCATCCCTCCCCAGTGATCACAGGGAAGGGGCTCCTCTGACCAGACAGTGCACCAAGTGAAAAGGGATTCTCGGTGAGAAATATGACCACGTGCCCAAGATCATCAACTTTGGAGAAAAACAAGCCAGTGAAAGTAAAGCACAAAATTTAATAAATTAACAAATGACATCTTAAAAATAAGAGTAAACAGTTAAACTAAAAGAACTTGAAAGTGAGTAAAAGTAATATAGGCAGACACTTGAGAGGTTCCAATCCATAAAAATAACAATTCTTAAAAGTTGCTAAGTTGCTAAGGGCCCTGGCCAGGTAGCTCAGTTGACTGGAGTGCTGTGCCAGTGCGGCAAAGTTGTGGGTTTGATCCCTAGTCAGGGCACATACAGGAGTCAACCAGTGATGCATAAATAAGCAGAACAACAGATCAGTCTCTCTCTCTCTCTTCCTCCCCTTCCCCCCCTCCGTTCTCTCGAAAGTCAATCAATAAAAAAAATTGCTATGAAAAAAGTCACGAGTTCTTAGATATTAAAAATAACTATTGTAAAAGATGGGGGTGTGGATTATGAAGGACAGGGAAGTTAAAAGACAATGAAAAGGAATCTATAGGATAGGATTTCCAAAAGAAGAAAATAGTGACAATGAAGGGAAAACTAATGAAAGAAATAATATAGTAAATTTTCCAGAGCTTCAAAAAATACTTCAGATCAAACAGGACAACCAAGTGCCCATCAGGATTGATATTCATTATTAAAAGATTATTTAGATATGTCATGGCTCAGTTTTAGGACTGCATAGGTAGACAATCCCAAAAGCTGCCTGAGGAAACCAGTTACCTATAAAGAATTAAGATGGACTTTTTATTAGCAAAACTGACAGTTCTTGTCATGTTAATTGGGAGGCTATAAAAATACTGACACTGGATAGATTATGATACCATAGTGCTCTGGATACTATATATATGAGACAGATTCTGATAGAAACTAAACATTTAAATATGTGATAGAGTTTTAAATGTAGTCATTGGAAATACTGAAACAGTGGATAATTTCCCAATTACATAGGGGAAGGGTAAATAGGAGAAAAACATAAAAAAATTCAATCTAATAAAAGACAGGACGTGAAAAGAAAACAGCATAGAAGGTAAGTGGAAAACAAAGAGGCATTTTTGTGCTGATTATTAAGCTGCTGTCTCTGAGCTCCGAGTCGACCTCGTCACGCGGTCTGTGTGCGGAGCCAGCGGGTGTGCGGGTGGTTTTTGCCCCGTCCAGTTTCACCGTGTAGATTGGTGACCAGCCTCCTCCTGGCTTCCGGAGCGCTGGACTCCTGCTTTCTCTCCAGGTTCTCTTTGCAGATGGCACTGTGGTCAGTAGTCCCGACTCAGGGCCTGTTTGTCCCCCTGCCGAAACGTCACCAAGTCCTCACAGTGGAGACTTGATGGACTTGGTTTCTCAGCAGAAATCGGAATCAGCACCATCGGAGTTTGTCATAGCAAAGAAAGGTAATAGCCAAACCTCTCTTAATGGATTTAATAGGTCTTTAAAATACAGGAGGGGCAAAAGTAGGTTACAGTTGTTCGTGTAGAAACTAATACAATAATTAATAAAGAATAATACAAGAATAAACTTTGTTTCCCATGGGCACAACTGTAAACCTACTTTTGCCCCACCCTGTATTAAATCAGTTAATTCTCATGTCAACCCTGTGAAGTACACATTTTAATAACCCCAATTTACTGATGAGGAAATTGAGACAGAGAAGTAACTTCCTTGAGGTCTCTTAGCTAGTAAGTGGTTGAGCTGGGATTTGCATCAGAGCAGAAATTATTTGAGAAATAATATAATCGATGACTACTACTTAGAATTCTGTGCCACAGTGTCCTTACACTGAATCAAACAACGAAAGAGTTATAGAATTGATACTATAGTTATATTGTTGTGTTTGATTTTACTTGAACTTCCACAGGAAAAAGTCACAAAACTCTGTCAACATTGTTACACAAGAGTGAAACCCATGACCCTCCCACAGAAACGGCTCACACAGTGACTCCTCTGGAGGTTCACGTGGGCACCTGGTTTACAACCACACCCGAAGGACATCGGATTGGCACCAAAGGGTCAGAAAGAATAGCTGTGGCTCCACTTTTATCCTTTCGGGCCACAGATCCTGTCACTGGAACGGTACGGCAATTTCCTAAATCACCAGAATTCTGAGCAACACGCAGAATTATTGCCTGGCAAATAATAAATTTTCAATAACAATTTTTAAGAAGTAAATAGTGAGCGGGTGAGTGGGTACGTGGGTGGGGGATGGATGGATGGATGGATGGATGGATGGATGGATTTATCTCCTGAAATCTGAAAGCATTTTGTCATTTATTTGACCAGCATAGAACATCATGATTTAATTTTCAAATTTATTTCAGATATCCTAATTTTTGAAATGAGAGACAGCTCATGAATTTTGTATACCACTTTAAGACATACATGACTAATGATGTCATATAGTTCCTTAAGCTGAATGCATTTGTGTCTGTCTTACCTTCTAGAAATAAGGACCTATGCCTTATTCCTACTTCTTTGTGTGCACTTGATGTGAGTGGTAGAAATTTGTTCATGATCCTTGACTTCAAAGAACTTACAGTATATTAAGGGAAATTCTTGCATTCAAAAACTCAAGAACACCACAGAGCAACTGTACAAAATATTTCATTTGTAGCAGAAAAATAGGTGCCAGATGAGTGATATAGAAAATAATGGTTTTGTTTAGGATGTGAAATGGAAACTGGATGAATATAGCGCCTTCTCTGTGCTGGACTTTCTGTTATGGGCTTTTCATCAGTGTCTCCCCAGGCCTCACACCAGTGGCTGGTATTACACAGATAGGAAACTAGGTCTCGGCAAGTTACGCGCTGTGGTCAGGAGCGAGCATCCAGGAGGTGTGGGAGCTGGGGCTAGAGCCGGTTGTTGGTGACTGAGCACTGGGTTCCTTTCCGCAGCTAGTCCTCTGCCATCTTATGTGGAGCTTTGCAACACCCCCTGAGTCTAGACAAGACGAAGAATTTCCTAGGTGCCTTCGCTCTGGTCTCTGTATGTCCTACCCGTTTACAACCACGTGCTTCTGGTCAAAAGCAAAATGTCTCCTTGCTGTTGAGATGAATTACGTTATCTAACCAAGTGTGTTTTCCTTTCTTCTTCAGTCTATTTCTGAAATAATTTCAAAATCTCTTGCCTTGTTTGCTAGTTATCTTTTCTGTGAGGTTCAAAGTACATATCATCTCAGGAAGGCTTCTAGGTCACCCCAGCCCATTTTAATTCAGCCCCTGATGTAGATTGTTTGGGTCAAGATGCAAATTTTATTAATATTTCTTAATTAATAATGCTTGATTTATCTTATTGATACCTATTGCAATTATAGAGGCATGAGCCAGCATCCAAGAGCCTGGATTCAGGCATGAATTAAACATCAGACATCTAGCAGAGTAATAATAATAATAACAATAATATTTACTGAGCACTCCCTCAGCTTTAGGGAAGGACATAAGACAGGAAGTCGGCCTGGTCAGTGTGGCACCTCATCCAGCTGGGAGGCTCAGCAGTGACCCACAGGCACCGTCAGGCCCACATGGGTCATGTGGGCAGCCACACACAGGAGCATATGCGTGTGCAGATTAACCTGTCTCAGAGAAGCCACAGCCTCTGTTCCCCTCCAATCCTCACGTTCTGTTCTGATGACATGAGGCAGAAACCTGCTTGCCAACCGCATAATATACACGCAGCCTCTGCATGCCACCCTCACCCTAAACCTCTGGTTTCCAAGGAAGCAAGAGCTGGGGCCATTTTCCCAGGCAGACTAGGATCAGGCCCATCCCGACATTACCTTTTTACTCACAAATATGTGGCAATGGAAGGAGCGCTAGTTCTGAAGTCAGACGGCCTTAGTCCAACGCCAGCCCTGGCACTGCCGAATGACATGGAGCAAGTTTCTTAACTTCTCTAAGCCTAGATCTCCTCACCGACAAAATGGGATGCCATTGCCTGCCTCCCAGGGCGGTTGTAAAGGTTAGACCAAGCAGGTGAGCTGAACTTGCAGCTGTAAGTAACTAACGAGGCGCTGATGGCACTCCATGGGGCGCACAAGCAAATGCACCGGGGTGAACCACCTGACCTAGTGCGCGTGCCCCGCCTTTGTGCGCTCAGGTCATGGTGACTCGAGAAGACAAAGTGGTCATTGTGGAAAAGAAGGACGGGACCCGCATAGTGGATCACGCTGACGGAACCAGAATCACAACCTTCCATCAAGCCTACGAGGATCATATTATTCCTCCAGACGGTCAGGAACTAAGTGAGTTTTGCCTTTCAGGTGTATGACAGTATCTGATGTCTTTAGAGTAAGGCAGGTGGCGAGGATCGCAGCGCTCATTGGCCTCGGGCAGCGGCAGCGGCTTTTCCGCTCGCTTCACGGAAAACCCACAGGCTGCGTCGCTGCGCTGGGGGCAACTAAGAGTCAGTAATCCTGGCTCAGCTGTGCTGGACACTAGCTCTCAGAGGCGTTTTCTTTGGTCCTTAAGGAGCCAGGTCTGCATAAGTAGGTGACCTCAGACAGGCCCCCTTCTATTTTGAGAGTGCCTCTCGGTTAGAAAGGTGGCCTGAGAGAGAGGCCTGCTGCGGCGGCTAAGTAACTGGCACCTGTTCAAAGAGTCTAAAAGCGTACCGGCCTCCCCACCCTAAATCTGAACAAGACTTTCAGAGAAAAATGACTCCCTGACTCTCCTTTCTTTAATTCCAGGGTTATTTGTGTAGTGCATTAAATGCTTCATTGCCAAATTAAGTGCTACAAAAGTGGCGAGTGGGAAAAGAGGAACTTTCATTCCTCATTAGACAGAGTGGTAATTAGGAGTCACTTGGGAGGCCAATTTTAAAATATCGAGGAAATTGAAAAGGTGCCTATCATATGAGCACTAACTGTACTTCTGGGTAGATACAGAAAGACACTCATGCATTTGTTCGAGGAAATAGGTTCAGAGGCACAAAGGAATATTATATAGCAGTCAAAAGGAAAGAGGAGCACACAGGCACATGTACGCACACATATGTATGTCAAGATGGCTAAAGGTCTCAAAACGAGGCTGAGAAAAGCAGGTATAGAGTGCTACAGAGTAATATATGACTTATGCCAATTTAAAGCATGCAAAATATTATGCATTGTTTTTGATAACACATTTATATAAAAGTATACAAATGGATTGCAAGAGAAGGAAGCAATCTGAGAATAAATTCTTATATGCATATTAACAGTGTTGAAGCAAATGTAGCAGATATAACAAGTATAAATTTTGATATGAGTAGTTAAATTACACTTTACGCTTTTCCGGATATTTTTAATTTCTCAAAGAAAAGTAGTGAGGAGGAGACACACACTACACTAAGTGAGAAAGGTCCGCCGGGGGGATTGCTCTGCGTGGGCAGGAGGGCAGGCCCGAGCGAGCTCTCAGCGCTCAGCCTGCAGCCTGGTCCGGGCGCCCGGGAGGCAGCAGCAAAACCGGCGGGCAGCGTGTTCCCACTGCGTGCGTCCTCTCAGATCTGCGTGCCCTCATTTGCCCGCAGCCAAAGGTCCTCAGACTGTCACCAGGCAGGTGAAGTGCATGCGGATAGAAAGCGCACACTATGCCACTGTCATCACCAACTGCGAGGACAGTCGCTGCTGTGCCACCTTTGGGGATGGGACGTCTGTCATTGCAAAGCCACAGGGAACGTACCAGGTAGGTCTGGGGGAGGCGGGGGGGAGGAGGAAGCCGAAGGTAAGTGTCCAGCCGGCTAGGAAAACCCGCTCCTCTGGCGCAGGGAACATGGCTGCCTGTGGACGGCTCTTGTTCTCTTGTCTCATCTCAAAACACGCCTCTCAGTCTCTTTTTATTTATTCACCGTTTTACAGCCCATCCCAGAAGAGCACTGTGCGGCCTGTCCTAGAGTGCTTTGGTACTTTCAGATCAAGGTCATCACCCAGAGTGCACTTGGTGGGGATCCTTTACGCAGCAGGCGGTGGGCACTGTGGGAGTTAGAAGCGCTCAGGCAGCGTGGCCTGTGCCCACCAACCAGCTTCACCTCCTGCCTCCTCTACCCTTACTGTCCCTCTCCTGTCCTTCCCACCTCCAGTCCATCCCACTCTACCCACTGTCCCCACAGGAGGGGAGGGAGTGTGTGGTCCTGGGAGGGCAGCCTGCCCAGCTGAAGGAAGGCTTCGTCCCCAGAGGGTTGGAGAGAACCGTTAGCAACTCCACCTCCCTGTATCAAACACAACCACCTGGTGTCAGCCTACAGTCCCTTTAGCCTTAGAAGGATTTGTCTTCCACATGCTAGAGAAGGGACACAAGTGCCAAGATATCGTATACCATCCCGGGATGCAGAGAGCTCACAGAGGACGGAGGGCAAAGGCCTCAGTGACAAGCATTTGTTCCTGCAGAAGCTGCTGAAGCCCGTTTATCCCTCCCATCTCCCCCGACGACATTGTCCTACCCAGTCTTCCCCCAGCGCAGGTTGTTATGGGGCCGGGAAGGCGCTGACAGCAAGAACGACTGTGCAATGTTGCGTTGGAGGAAGGGGATGCCATCTTTCTTAGAACTCAGAATGTTCATTTCTAGGCAGGTTGGCAGCGTCATGTTCCAGTGCCATGTGTCCTACCAGATGTCATGAGCAGCTCCTAAGATTCTGTGATGAGGCCAGCTTTTACCTTACCTTTATCATAGCCCCAGACTCGAATGATTACAACTGTCAGGGCCAAGGAATTTTAGTACCAATGACAGTTACCACTGAAGGAAGAGACACAAACAGAAAAGAGCTCCAACTTGGAGACATTCCGTGTCTGCCTCTTCCTCCTCCCGGGTTTGCCAGTCTCCTAAAACAGCCCAAGGAAAGATTGGAAGGTCGATCACTCCTGGTTGAGAAACACACAGACTTAGTTCCCAACTGAAGGAAAAAAGAACCCTCAAAATAAGCTTACCAATGCCCATTTTATAATCCTGTGGTCTTGCAGAGCTGAAAAGTGGCATTCGAAAGGACCTCCGCCATCCTCTGTTGGGGGGTCTTGGCCTGGGCAGTCTGATGAGTGAGGCTGGATTTTAGGCAGCATATAAAAAAAGAGGTGGAACTTGGTCCTGGCCACTCTGTACCTTGGCAGCACTAGAAATATTAATCCAGCATCAAAGAGGAGGTGGGAACAGCTGTCATTCTCTGTGATTATAATGTGTCGCAAGCAGGGTGCTGCCACAGCAGTGAGAACAAACAGAAGCTTCTGGAAGCATTTGTCCAAGAGCTTTATGATTCCTGCCCAAGAACAAGAGGATCCCAAACATTTTAAATAGGGCCAAGCGTGTTTGCTTTACTTAAAGTATGTTTTATTATTTTATATTAAATATCTGAAATAAGAAGGCACGAGGCAACTACTTGAAAGAAATAAAGTGAGTAGATAAAATATGAGGACATGGAGCCAGTTGTATGCTAATTATTCAGTGTATGTCCTTATCGGGTCCTCCTTTCCGAACCTTAAGTCCTCTCTTGGGCTTTCTTCCTGGAAGTAGAGTTTGTGGCAGAGATCAGGGGATAATTTTTTTCCTAAAATGATTTTCCAAATTCCTCAACTTGAAGAAGAAATTTTAAATAATTTCTCTCTTTCTGATACCTTTCCAGGTGTTACCTCCAAACACAGGCTGTCTTCATATTGATAGGGATTGTTCGGCTATATATTGCCACGAATCAAGCAGTGATATATACCATCCTTTCCAAAACCGTGAGCAGCTGAGAGCTAGCATGTACATCATGAAGCACACCTCAGAGGTCATCTGTGAGGTCCTGGATCCGGAGGGAAACATCTTTCAGGTAAAGTGTATCATCACTGTGGAGACACAGGCCATGGCTCTGCTTTTCAGATATTTCGCTCGAGAGAGCCTCCATGTAGCTTTTTACTTTAGCTGCTTTGGGGTGGGTTATCTACTTTCTGCCAACACTTTGGGCAAGCAGTAATGAAGGTCAGTTTCTTTCATTCTCAAGTGTCCTTCCATAAGGGATAGCAAGCCCAGCAATTGGGGTGGTAGAAATGCTAAAGCCAAATAATTAATTGGAACAGAAAGGAAGAAACAGTGCTAAACATCTATAAATGATGCTGACACAAAGCAGTGATGTGAGAATGGTCTGTGTCCAGGTTAGAGTAAGAGCCAGAATATGGGACAGCAGGCAGGTGTGCTTGACTAGGCGAGAATCCACAGTGAGCATTTCAGGTGGTGAGGGTTCTGGTGGGGTTGGAGATGGGGAGGCAGGAAGCCTGGAGGAACAGAGCTTACCTTCTGGTTCTCTGTCCCTCAAAACCACAACTACCCTCTTACCTCTAGGCCAGGCATTGGCAAACCATGGCCATTTGTTTACATAGGTGCATGAGCTAAAAATGGTTTTTACATTTTTAAATGGTTGAAGAAAATCAAAAGAAGACTATTTCATGACACATAGAAAATGCTGGGAAATGCAGAATTCAGTGTTGTTATATGTAGTCTTATTGGAACACAGCCATGTGCACTTGTGGCACATTGTCCATGGCTGCTGGGCGTGTAAGCGCAGAGTTGAGTAGTTACAACAGATACTGTATGGCCCACAAACCCTAAAATACTTTCTATCTGCCCTGAAAACAAGGTTGGCTAACCCCTCCTCTAGGCCCTTATCTTTTTGTGGTTTTTTTCCACTCCTCACTCAACAGTGGAGTTTTGTGCGTCAGCTAGCGGGTGGTGAATTATTTTTAGATTGGAACCATACCGCGGAGCCCCCAGCTTTGTTTTGGTGTGCAGGCAGGCAATCCCTGATCCAGCATATTTTTTCTGTACTAAGTAAATAAAGCTCTTCACAGCACAAGTTCAGGCTGCTAACACATTTCAGTTTACAATGAATTGAAACGGAAATGGGAAGCCCCACCCCTCTAGGTTGGAACACGGGGTCATCCAGGCCAAGCGTTCTTCTAGGCGTTGGTGTGCCTCTGGGCCATCCTCTCCAGGGGTCGTTAGCCCGGGCCCACTGCTTCCTGGCGAAACCGTGCCATAGCTACACAGCAGCAAGGGCTGGCACATTTCCTCTCAGACCGATACCCAAGCTGTTTCCCTAAGTATTCTATCCACGAGTCCTAATTCTGTGCTTGGAGTTGCAGAATATAAACCTCTTCCATGCTAATGCTCTTTCAGCATTTCAAGACAGCTGTCACTTGACCAACCTTTCCTCCAACCTTCCCAGTTCTTTGAAGTGATCCTCAGAAGATAAGGTTTGGAGTCCCCGCCATCCTCCTCACCTTCCTCAGGGCATTCTGGTTTCGCTTCCAGTTCGTGTTCACAGTCTAGGTGTGGTTTGTGGGTGGACGTATGCTACTAAGGTTTCACTTTTATGTAATCTATATTTAGTGAGCAATGCCTTACAAATAAAAAAATATCCCTGAGTTTCTGAGAATACCAAAAATCACCTGCTTTCTCAGATGGGATCAGCAGAAATGTAAGCTTTATGGCCTTTTTTTTTTTTTTTTTTTTTTTTTTTTTTTTTTTTTCT